ACCAAGAGACATAAACGTGAGAGTGGACGACTTGTTATATCTATGCTACCGATGAGTTCTGCGCAACAAAAGTGCTTCGCCATTAAAAGGTACTGTGTAGACTTCTGCTTCAAGACATTTTACTAGCATTTTACTTAAAAGCCTAAGCATTGTTTATCCTTTATCATATTTTTAAAGAGTTCAATTTTATTATTAAAGATGGAAATAAAGCACCCGTTTATTTACCCCCATACTGAATTCAGCAGAAATGCTTGTGTGTGTGTGGGGGGCGGGGGGGCGGTTTGCTATTGGTCGGTGTTACCTGGGCACGTCGCTGAACTCTGGAGAAGGACTTTTCTCTTTCCAGCTCTCGTAAAGGGATTTGCCTTCAAAGCCTTCATCAGGGCTTTGCAGCTACATACAATAAAAAGAAAATACAGGTATTTACAGACCAGCAAACAGAAGCCTAAAAACGTCCTTTCACCAGGGAATGGCTAATAATATATGGATCAGAAGAATAAGCATTGGAATCCGTCTGATAACCGTCATTTAACACTACAGTTATGAGTTATAATAACATGGTTAAATGCTCACGATATGCCTGGGCACAGATACAGCTTATTAAAAATGCAGCATGTATATAGAAAAGAAAGCTACTACCATGGATTATTAACGAGTCATTGTCTTTATTAGTTTTAAGTTATTCTATTCTGTTGTTGTGAGGAATACACATCAGTTCTTCCATTTCGACATAACAACTCAGTGACACGGATGACCTCCTCTTCCTTCAAGTCGCACACCCCTTGTCCCTCTCCCTTTCCAACACGTTCCTCTTCCCGTGACAATACTTCACGCCTACCTTAAGTCTTCCATCTAATGATCGTTTAAGTTATTGTCAAATTGATCCCATATAGATAGTTCCTAAAAGAAGACAATGCTCTTTAGGCTAAATTGTTTGGTTGACAGATGACCTCCAGGGTATTTTGGTTCAAGGTTGATCGGTTACCTCAGGATAAGATTTGCAGGAGTTCATTTAGCTTTGAGGGCTTCAGAAAGTCTAAGCCAACCCAGAGTCTTTGGGGAAACGTTAAGTGTATGCTTTTTGTATGGTGGAGGTTTTAAGCCTTTATCCCCTTGATTTTAGAAAGGCTGCTCTGAAAAATATTTATTTCTTCTTCCTTTAAAAGAAACAAATTGAAACGAGGCAAGCCCGTGAAGGGAGGGCACTCCTTTCACCAGTCCTTCTTGCCAGGAAAGTTATCAATGTCATTAAATAATGCATATGAAACACAACATAAATATTTCATTTAATTAACTGATATTAACTGTAACTGTGTTAGACATGGGGCCTAAGATACACTTCCTGATTGTACAGATGTGAAAAATAAGGAGTAAAATATGATCCACCATTGAATTTTAGACTTGAATCCAAGATATTATCTTTGTCAAAAACAGTAAACATAAGTTTAATGAATGTTCATAATCTTGTACAGGTAATTGAACAATGGATAGTACTGTATACCTTTTTCATAAAAATCATATGGTCTAATTTTCAACAAGTGCAGTATAAAAATGTTTAAATAGTATCACTATTATTCAAGTATCTAGGTAGATATCAGGAATGCAGAGATCAAGAATACAATACAGTATAGCATAGCTTCTCTTCATAGGAACTGGAGATAGAATATTGAAATTCATGGTGCTATAATCAAGTGTCCCGGTGGCGCAATGGGTTAAGTATCAGGCTGTTAACAGAGAACTTGGCCATCGAAATTCACATGTTGATTCAGGTAGAGAGACGAGGCTGTCTACTTCCTTAAAGATTCACGATCTTGGAAACTCTTGCATTTCCAAGAGTTGCTATTAGGCTGAATCAAACTGATGGCATTAGATGGGTGGTGCTATAATAGAAGTCCTTAACCATTTTTCATCCTTCTATAAATCATTGTATAGATTTTTCAGATAAACCATGTAGATGTAGATTGCACTCACATGCTAATTAAAATTTTTAAAATGTATGCATATGGAAACAAGTACACTGTGCCCTTGCACGATGGGTGTTTGCATATTGTACCCTCTTGGCAAATATTCCATTTCTTACTTTCAGAATACCCTCGTCACCCCCTCGTTTAGGAGTCAGATGAAAAGGAAACTTTTAAAAACTTGCCCTATCCTAGTCCACAGGGCAAAGGTGGTTGGTCCATGGTAAAATTCTTAAATTCCAGGCCAGTTCATCTCATGAACAGCCACCAGCCATCTGTCGGTGGAAGCTTATGCATTGCTATGATGTTGAATGAGTCTCAATGCCACTAAGGCAGACTAGAAAGACCTGTCACTCTCCTTCCAAAGATCACACCATCAATACCTATGGGTCACCACGGTGCAATTCCATTGTTCACGACGGGAGCGTCTGAGCCCAGGCCACCTCCACAGCAGCTAACAAAAACCAAGCCTAGGCCAGTCTTGGTACTTCTTGAATGCATAGCACCTTACATAGTCATTGATCATAGGCCACCCAACTGACACATTTGTTAAAAACAACCTATGGGAGCAACACTGTCCACAAGAACAAGAACAATAAATAAAAAAAATCCACTGCCAGGGAGTTGTGGACTCACAGCGATTCTGTAGGACATCATAGAACTGCCTCTGTGGGCTTCTAAAACTGTAACTCTGATCCTGAGATTAGCAGCCTGGCTCGTATGTATTATGGTAGCAGAGCTCCAACATCATCAAATGATTATCTAATAATTGATCCTCAGAAGATCATGACACCCTGCAATGCTTTCAGCCCTACCCTGAAAAGAAAGTAACTTATGCTAACAAAACTAGGAACCCCTAAATGTCAGAAATAGTCATGCACCCGCAATATGCTGAAAGGCTGTTCAAGTTCTCCTAGAGGCACCTTGGAAAAAAGACCTGACAGTCTGCTTCCAAAAGGTCACACACGTGAAACCCCATGGAGCAATTCTACTCTGCACGCACAAAGTCACCATGAGTTGGAATCTATGCCACAGCAACTAACAGCAGCGTCCACAAACTTAAGTGTAGCTGGAGTAGAGAATAGCATTGCTCTCACATAAAGAACGTACTAAATGTTCACATTTGAGCTCTAGTCCCAGACAGCAATAGATTCTGCAACAGAAGAATCTACCCCCTTACTTATTTCTATAGTAAATAAGCTAATTTTCTGTGTCCTATTTGTACATAACACTCCTGTACTGTGTACTACTGTCTCCTCAACACACTTTGAGTTTTTCTAGAGGACACCTGCTATCCTCTGTCTGTATTTTCAGAACCAAGCATAATACCTTTCCTGACTAGGCAGTAAAGTTACTGCTAGATAAATCAATAAATAAAGGTAGGTGACATAAGAGTCCCAGGCAATTGTGGAGACACTGGTGGTTTCATGGGGCAAAGGGTTGCCTATCAGCCCTGCTTGCATCAAGGTACCACCTCTTGGCCAAGCCCAAGACTATATAGCGCTTTTGGAACTGAGAAAACACTGATCCATCAACCACCTGGAAGATCTCTTGGGCCAGTGAACCAGAGCTCTGGGCAAAATTCAGACATCAGCAGGATTCCATACATGGTCTCTCAAACTGTCCCAAAGGATTTGCCTCTGGAAATCCACACCAGGTATTCCTTTGCATACTTTTATTCAATCAGTTAGAACTTTCCATTCTTCCTGGGTTCTGAATTAGTTGTCACCACTATATTAAAGAATATAATTTGGCTTCAAGATTAAGGGATTAGATCATAAAATAAATTCTTGGGGTACAAGCCGCCAAATCCTGGTGGCGAATTTCCTTTGAAGAGCAATGATAGCAAGATGGGTTATGAATTGGAAGGTTAACTGCAACGCCAGCAGTTCAAAACCAGAAGAAACTCAGAAAACAAAGTAAAACTCTCATAAAGATTTATAGTTTTGAAAACCCAGAGAGGGACTTCTCCTGCGCCTTATATGGTCACTTGAGTCGAAATCCACTCAATGGTTTGGACGTTGAATTCTTTTAAAGGTCAAATTGCTTATCTTCAAAAATGCTTCCCAAAGGCACAGTGTTGAGGGGAGAAGGGAGGTAATGTATGCAAACACTTGTTTAAGCGAGTGGCACATGCTAACAGGGAAAAAACAAGTGCAAGAAAACTCAGACATCCTAATGGCACTGCAAGGAAACTTCAGTTTTCTTAAATTATATGCACTTTTTTTTTACCTCTTTTGTTAGGTTGTATACCAAGTTGAACATCAGTGGTGTACAGTCAACTCTCAGGGTGTAGTTTCCTGAAAGATAAGAGCAGCTTTATTTCATTTCATTTCTTTCTGTTGTTCTTTTGTTTAAAGGCTATCGTTAACTCCTTAGCAAAAAAATAAATAAAAAGATCCTTCTAAAATATATGAGTAAATCAGATTTTCAAATCTCCAAAGACTTCCCCTATGTTGTAGACTGAACTGTGCCCCACACCCTTAAAATAGGTGTCGACTTGGGTAGGTTATTATTCTCAGGATCATAAAGTTATCTTCAATTGGATGACTTGCTACTATTCTATGTTCAACAGAAGCAAACATGACACCATCTGCACAATTGTTCATGTGCCTGAGCCATTGATGCAGCCATTGTATCAAGGCATCTCTGCGAGGACTTTCTTGTTTTTGCCACCCCTCCACTTTCCCTAACAAGACGTCCTTTTCCGGGGACTGGTCTCTCTGACAATATGTCCAAAGTCTGTAAGATGAAGTTTCACTATCAATGCCTCTAAAAGGACTGTGATCTTACTTTCTCCAACACAGGTCGGTTTGTCCTCTTAGCAGTCCATGGTCCTTTCTTTTTTTTAAAAGTCATTTTATTGGGGGATCTTACAGCGCTTATAACAATTCATATATCAATTATATCAAGCACCTTTGTATGTATGTTGCCATCATTTCCAAAACATTTTCTTTCTCCTTGAGCCTTTGGTATCAGTTCCTCTTTTTTACCCTCCCTCCCCCATGCTCCCACCCTCATGAATCTTTGATAATTTATAAATTAATTTTATTTTCATATTTTACACTGTTTACGGTCTCCCTCCATCCATGTTTCTGTTGTTTATCCCCCTGGGAGGGGGCTTGTATGTTGGTCACTGTGATCAGTTCCTCCTTCCTCCCCCTTTGCCCCCCGCCTTCCCCCTACCCTCATGGTATTGATACTCTCACTATTGGTCCTGAGGGGTTTATCTGTCCTGGATTCTGTGTGTTGAGAGCTCTTAGCTGTATGAGTGTACATGCTCTGGTCTAGCCAGATTTGTAAGATAGAACTGGGGCTATGATGGGGGTGGGGGTGGAAAGCATTAAAGAACTAGAGGAATGTTGTGTGTTTCATTGGTGATATACTGCAACCTGGGCTGGCTTGTCCTTTCTTCGTGACCCGACCCCTTATGTTCACATTGAAATGGTTTGTTTTGGGTCTTCTGATGCCTGACACCCAATCCCATTGACACCTCATGGTCACACTGATTGGTGTGTTTCTTCAATATGGGCTTTGTTGCTTCCCTGCTAGGTAGCCACTTGTTTAACTTCAAACCATTAAGACCTCAGACACTATATCTTGTAATAGCCGGGCACCATCAGCTTTCTAAACCAGATTAGCTTACACAGCTATTTTGTCTTTAGTGATCATGTTGGAAAGGTGAGAATCACAAAATGCTAGGTTATGAGAACATAGTGTTCTTGCATTGATGGAGGACTTGAGTAGAGGCCCAGTGTTCATCTGCTCCAGCAGCACAATTCAAATGCATTGATTCTTCCAAGGTCTTCTTTATTCAATGTCCAACTTTCACATGCATATGACGCAATGGAGGATACCTTGGTTTAGGTCGGGTGTGCCCTAGTCCTTAAAGTAACTTCCATGCTTTTCAATACTAAAAAGAGGGCTTGTGCAGCAGATTTATAAATGCAACTCATCTTTTGATCTTAATTGTTGCTTCCATGAGCATTGATTGTGTATCTAAGTAAGACAAAATCTGTTACAACTTCAACCTTTTCTCTATTTATCATGATGTTACCTATTGGTCCACTTGTGAGGATGCTGTTCTCCCTCACGTTAGGTTGTAATCCATACTGAAGGCTACAATCTTTTATCTTCATCAGTAAATGCTTCATTTCCTCTCTTCCAAGCACATGGCTCAATGCTATCTGGCCAGCAGCTTTATATATAGGAACAGACAAGTCCCAACTGCAACCCCTCCTCTCTGCTCAGCGGACAGTCACTCCCCTTTCTGGCCACCAGCACGCATTTTAGGTTAGTCCTCCAAGAACTCAGGGACCTCCACGGTTAAAGTACAGCCTACTTTGTTTTGTATGTGGTAACCTGTAATTAAGGGGGTGTGCATGCCTGAGACTATGTAAATCGATGAAAGAATGCATTTTCTCTTTCTCTTCTGGTTCCAGATACCATGGACGAGGTGAGCACCACCAAACTTTTATCTGCTTCTTAATTTCTTACCTTCAATTGCACACCCCTCCCTTAGGACCTATCTGGATGTGGGCTGGATCCCACAGCAAACAAAGGCTGGATTTATAAAGACACCAATAATAAATGGCAATATTCTGAACTGTTTTAAAAAAAAAAAGGTAGTCTCCACTTTGCGTGCGGCCAAGAATGAAAAGGAGGGAATTGTGGCTGGAATGCAATGGGAATGGGCTAGTTAATTATTGTGGAAATGTTCATGGAAACTTAAGAACATCTTCTAGCTTTAATATTGACTTATTAAAACCCTGTTATTTCTTCAAGCCTGATCTCATCTCTCAAATTTTCCTGGTGTTTACAATTTCTCTCATCTGAATCCTCAGAATATTTTCCTCCTCTCCTTCTTGTAGGACCTTCTTATAACATAACCCTGGAATGATGTATTACCTCTACTGAGTTGTCCCCTCCAGAGTGCAAGAGCTATGATGCGTAACCCATGGTGCCTTTTCATCCATAGCAAATCCTACTGCACAAAGCCTTTAGTAAATATTTGATGAATTTAAGAGAGATAATTAACAAGACCTCAGTAAAAAAATGAAACTTTCAAAATCAGAATGTTTTTCTCGAAATATTTGGATTAAAAAAAAGAAACTGGAGACTATATCTAAATTATGCTTTCTTCTATCTAAATTATGCTGTTTTTATACCTGACTATAAAGTCATAGAACTCATTCGTTACTCATTAATTTGACAGGTATTTATTGAATTCCCACCACAATGTAGGCAATCTGGCTGATGAAGTAGATGAAAGGAGCATTGTTTCCCTGAATTTGCACCCTGGTTCTTGTTGTTCAGTGCTTTGAAATTGAGTCTGACTCACAGCATAGATGTGTGAAAGACTGTAACACAGCACGGTACTGCTCAAAAGAGTTCCTACGTTTGAACTCACTTTTGCAATATTGTGTTAGTGGTTTTCCTCTTTATTGTTGACCCTCTCCCACACAAAGCATGATGTCCTTCCCCTAGGAAGTAGTCTCTCCTGCTGACTGTTCACAGAGGAGAATGAAGTGTCATCATCATTACGCCCGAGAGGCACTTCAGACCTGTTTGTTTTTCTGACAGCCCACGGTATATTTTCATATTCATATTCACCAAACCCCTGATTTAAAAGCAGCCATACTTTTTCTCTTTTTTGTCTTGCTTATTCATTTTGTAACTTTCTCATGCAGATGAGGCATTTGAAAATACTCTGAGTTGGGTCAGTAGAACCACTGTCCTCAAAGTGATAGCTCTGCTTATGAACACACGATAAAGGTATCTTTTGCAGCAGATTTGACCACTGCCGTACGTTGTTCGATTTCTTCCCTGCTGCTGCCACAAACATTCATTATGGATTTAAGTAAAATGAAATCCTTTGCCATTTCAATCTTCGTTTATCACGATGCTGCTTTTGTTCGTTTCCAGGATTTATATGTTGAGAATTAATCCATATTGGAGGGTATAGCTTTTAATCATCAATAAATGTTCTAAGCCTTTTTTCTTTCAGTAAGCAAGGCTGTGTTCATATAGTCCAGCATCTAGAATTTGTTCAGCACACAGCTTGAATAAGTATAGTAAAAGAATACAATCCTGACACTCACCTTAAAAACATTTTAAACCACAGTATCCCTTGGTTTTGTTCTAGTGACTGCATAATGGAGTGTTCGGGAATACCCATTCTTTGAAATATCATCAAGAATTTGTTTTGATCCACACAGTTGAATGTCTTTGCACAGTCAATAAAACATAGATACATATCTGCTATACTCTGCTTTCAGCCAAGATCTATCTCACAATAGTAATGATATTCTTCATTCAACGTCCTGTTCAATTCTACTTAAAATTTTAGGCAATTCCCTTTGGATACATGGTTGCAATATTTTTGAATTATCTTCAGTTTACTACCATGTAATAATGATAATGGTAAAAAAAAACCCCACAAAAACTCACAGCCACTAAGTCTATGACAACTTCTAGAGACCCTATAAGACAGGGTAGAACTGCCTCTGTGACTTTCCAAGACTGGAACCCTCTCTGGGAGTAGAAAGCCCAGTCTTTCTCCCCATTAATGATAGTGCTCAATGATTTCCACCTTCAGCTGGATCACCTTCCTTTGGCATGGGCACATATAGGGATCTCTTCTAGTTAGTTGACCAGGTAGCTGTGTTCCAATTCTTGTCATAGACGAGTAAGCACTTTCAGTGTTGCATGGGTTTGTGGAAGCATGTCAGTAGGTATTCCATCAGTTGCTGGATCCTTATTTTTCGCCAATCCTTCAGTACAGCTTGAATTTCTTCCTTCACTCTTATCTGCCTTGGTCCTATGGTGCCTCCTTAAGTGGTTGAGTGTTGACCAGTCCTTTTTGGTACAGTAAGTCTTTGTATCCCTTTTGGTTTCTTATAAAGCTTTTCCTATGTTGTTCCATAGTTTGCCCATAAAATCCGTCACTGTTTCTACTTGAAGCTTTGTTTTTTTTCTTCAATGCCGTGTTAGGCCAATGACACAGAAAGGTGAAGCTGGAAGCAGGGCCATCATAGGCCAATTTGTGCAGTCTCGTGGTTCCATGGTCCCTGGAAACATGGCACAGTGCTGGCCCCTCTCAAGGTCAGGTGGCCCCTAGTGGGCTGCCCCTGGAGGCAGACACAGAGTCCCAGTGAACTCCAATGAGAGGTAAATTGATGTGACAGAGAGAGAGGTAGTTCCCAGAGTCCCTCACTGTCATACAAGGCCATGCCCCCAAGGAGGTGTCATCATATTACCACTTGATTGACAGGGTTGACTCCACCCCTAGGCAGGAATATGGAGTTGACAGAAAATCATCCAACTACCACAAATGCTTTCAGCTTGAGAAATGCCAAGCACAGTCTTTCTTTTGGTTTTGTAACTCCAGGTCTGCACATTTCATGCCAACACTCTGTTTTCTTGAGTTACTCTTTGAAACCTTAGCGTCATCATCCTTCCCTTTGCTGTGACTAACCTATGTTCAAGGCAACGTTCAGGCTGTCTTCTGACGTCCATTTTGTATCTTTTCTGCTTTCTTATTTTTTAATGTGTGATGTTCTTGATGTTATCTCATATCTCTTCTGGTCTTCAGTCATTGGTATTCAATTTGTCAAATCTATTCTGGAGATGGCTTCTAAATTCAGATAAGGTATATACAAGGTCACACTTTGGCTGTCATGAACTTGGCTTATGTTCTTCAACTTGAACTTCCATATGAGCAGCTGCTGGTTTATTCCTCAGCCAGCCCTTGGCCTTGTTCTGATTGATATTTAATTTCCCCATCATCTCTATGCATAAATATAGTTGATTTGCTTCTTGTATGTTCCATCCATGAGAGTCCAGGTATGGTCACCATTTATGTTGTTGAGAAATGGTATTTGCCATGCATTAGTCACTGGTCTTATAAAATTGTATCATGTGATCTCCAGTGTCCTTCAAAATTTGTATCACTGAGTCCATAGTTTTCAACTGCTGGTCCTTCTTTTTTTGTTTCCAACGTTCACATTCTATTCACCAGTAATTATCAGTGCATCTTAATTACAAGGTTTATCAACTTCAGACCGCTGGAGTTGGACCTTGAAAGCATTTGGGATACTAAAGGCATCACTTCCAACATCACAGCAACATACAAGTCACCACAGTATGGCCAGCTGACATATAAATGACACCCTATAATGCAAAGCATTTTTTGTTTGGTTTTGTTTGGTTAAACAAAACAAACCCCCAAACATCAGGAGATTCCCAAGCTAAATGTTATTAAGTTTTTTTCTGCACTGCTAGGCATAGCTTATTTATGACCTAAACAGTTTCTATGAACATAATTACATCTTTTCCTTTCAGACGAAGAGTATTCACCTTCTATAGAAGAATCAGCATTGATGTAGGCCACAGTACGTTCCTGAAGGATTCTGGAATTGTCCTGTGATTAAAAAAGAAAGACCATAAACGTACAGCTATACTTCTATTTTTTCTCCCCAGCCCTAAATTCACATTTTCATTTACTTTGTACAGATTTTTAAACTAGGCTGGCACAAGAAAACCATAGCTTGACATATAAATTCTCAAAATTACTGGTTTGAATTTCATTATGGATTCTTGACAAGGAACTACAGCTAAAATGTTTTAAGACTTAAGGTGAAACTGTCCGAGTACTTACTAGGGTAAATTTTAAAAAGGGTTGATTTGTTGACCATACTAGAATATACCTTCACAAAAGTCTTTTTAGCAAACAGATGTCTTCAGGAACTTTTCAGTGGACTCACAGGGAATGAGCTATTTAAAATCTATCTTGTTACAAAGTTGAATTAGGTTTATATGCCCGGAAATGGTCACATATAAAGACTATTTATCTTTAAAAAAAAATATTTTTATTGGGGGCTCATACAACTTTTATCACAATCCATCTATCCGTATCCATTCATCCATTCAGTGTGTCAAGCACATTTGTACATTTCTTGCCATTAGAGTTTTCAAAACATTTGCTTTCTACTTGAGCCCTTAGTATCAACTCCTCATCCCCCCTCCCTCACAAACCCTTGATAATTTATATTATTATTTTTTTCATGTCTTACACTGTCCGATGTCTCCCTTCACGCACTTTTCTGTTGTCCGTCCCCCAGGGAGGGGGTTATATGTAGATCCTTGTGATTGGTTCTCCTTTTCTCCCCCACCTTCCCCTTCCCCTTCTGGTATCGCTATTCTTATTACTGGTCCTGAAGGGTTGGTTTATCTGTATTGGATTCCCCATATTTCCAGCTCTGAGCTGTACCAGTTTAGCACTCTGGTCTAGCCAGATTTGTAAGGCAGAATTAGGATCATGATAGTGGGGGGGGAGAAATCATTAAAGAACTAGGGGAAATTTGCATGTGTCATGGGTGCTATACTGATAAAGAGTATTTCCTCTTAGATGTTATCACCTATTGGTCAAGTGGATAATTACACTTTTTAGAACACTGGTCAAAGGAAGTGTTACAAAATTGTTGTTGTTTTAAAGCATTGTGAGTTCTGGTCTTCTTTTTTTTTTTTTTTAAACATTTTATTAGGGGCTCATACAACTGTTATCCCAATCCATACACACATCAATTGTGTAAAGCGTATTTGTACATCATTTCTCAAAACATTTTCTCTCCATTTAAACCCCCGAGTTCTGGTCTTCAACATACAATTTCCTAAGCCTTTCCATTGTAAGACAGGAAATGGCAGGAAAAAAGCAGATTGAAATAGATGAATCACATCCTCAGTGTATCGAGGCTCTTCCTGAGATGGTCTAAAGCCTTCTTGGGAATGTTCCAATTAGGATTATGGGAGTACCATTCCCCTCCTCAGTTCCCCAAAAAGAGAAAACAGAAGTCTGGGATATGACAGGAGCCAACGAATGTGATTGTAACATAATTGGAACTTAGTGGAATAAATATTGACCTTCTTAATATTTACTTTACTGGTAATGCTTCTATTGCTTAAATCAAATAAAAGGTAAATACAATCATTTATATAAGTATATATCAGGTGCCCTGGTTGCACCGTGGGTTAGTTGTTGGGCTGCTAACCTAATGGTTTGTTATCTGAACCCACAAGGTGCTCTGCGGAAGAAAGATGAGGCTGTCTTGTTTCTCTGAAGATTGACAGCCTTAGAGACGCTATGGGAAGTTCTACTCTATCCTATGAGTCTGAAAAGACTATAGCAGTGTTCTTTTGGGGAGGTGGGGTGGGGTGAGAAGTACGTATTCTATGGTGAACATGAATAAACCTGACTGATTGATTACAATGAAAATGTATCTTATAAAAAATTATCCACTAACCTCTGCCCACTCAGTAGACCCCAGAAGACCAAATTCTTCTGCATCCCAACTGGCAAACAGAATTGTTCTTCTTGGTCTCCACCCTAAAATATAGTATTTGTGACTATGTATTAAAATATATGCTCTCTATCACACACACATATATAAATATACACATATGTATATATTCAGATGATGCTTTATGTATTCAAGACACCAAGCTTAAAAAGCGAAAAAGAAACTTTGGTGGTAATGTTAGAAAGTTTGTTATGAGACTACTTATATAAGTTCCTTTTGTAAAAATTTAAAACTAAGGTCAATACAAAATGTTACAATAGTATTAAAACGAAACAAAGGATAGAAAAAATCCTGGGAGGACACAGAGTAGTCTCTTAAGTTTATTATGGTAAATTCTATGTAGGAAGGTATCTGTGGTCTGTTGAAGGTATTCAATTAAAGAAATATCTTGTTTAAAATCTTTATTCCCTCACTTTCTGGCAGAATGACCAATGACATATGACTCAAATTCACTAAGCCTCAGTTTCTGCATCTGTATACCTGAAAAACAGAGTAATGGTGACCGTTCTATTGGATTGATTGTTGGGAAAATTAAGGGTAACTATTTTGCTCACTATGTATGCTTGGAAGGAACAAACATGGATGTTTAATGGCAATGTGACGCTGGTTAAGATTTTGTGTCAACTAGTTGAATCCCAGTGGCTTAGCAATTATGTAGTGTCCTAATCGGACAGTTATGTAAATATTTCAACTGGCAGCCAGGCAATGAGGCAATTGGGAAATCATCCTGCATTTTTTAATCTGATGTGATCACTTTTCATCATTCCATATAATGCTCATTTTCACATGTTTTTGGTCATTTGAACCTAACTGCATGAAAGAGTGCACGTATGTTGTTATTGTCAGGTGCTCTGGAGTCAATTCTGTCCTATAGCAACATGATGCACATTCAAAGAAATCACTGCCCAGGGCTGTACCATATTCCCAATTGTTGTCATGTCTGCGCCAACTCCAGCAGCCACTCTGAAAATTAATCTCATTGAGGGGCTTCCTCTTTTTCACCGAACCTCTCAAACAGGGTACTCTTCTTGAGGGACGGATCCAACTGATGGCATGTCAAAAGTGACATGTCAAAAGTACACGTGACAAGACTTGTTAGTCTCTCTTCTAAGGATCAGTCTGAATGCAGTTTCTCAGAGGCAGATTGATTGTGCTTCTAGCTGTCAGGGTATTTTCAATGTTCTTCACGCACACCACAGTTCAAAGACATCAATTCTCCAGTCTTCTTTGTTCATTGTGCAGCTTTTGGATGCATAGGACGCTATTGAAAATATTATAGCTTCAGTCAGTTATGCTTAACTTAGCGCTTAAAGTGACATCGTTGCTCTTTAACACTTTAAAAACACCCGGCGCAACAGATTTCCCAATAAATCTGATTTCTGGACTGCTTACACCGTGAGTGTTGATTGTGGATCCAAGTAAATAAAATCCTTGCTGATCTCCATATTTCCCCATTTATCACTATATAGCTTACTTGTAAGGTCAGTAAGGAGAATAAGCTTTATGCTCTTAATATGTAATGATAATTTTAAAAAAACCATTTGAAGCATCATTTTAGCATTCCTGTAACTCTTCTAAAGCAACAGAAGAAAGTAGTTGTGTTAATGGTATAACTCCAGTGCAGCGGAGAGGATTTTTCTTTTTCTTTTTAACATAGAATTGTAATTGATATCGAAGGTTGAGGTCTTTGACCATCATCTGGTGTCCCAAGCCCGACTTCCTTTCAGTAAACGAGGCTGTCTTCTGCAGATCACATGTTCTTAGATGCCTTCCTTTAACCGATGTAGTATTCTTCTTCAAAGAGCCCCCCTCTCAGATAATCTGCTCAGAATACAGACTGGATAAGTATGGTGAAAGAATACAATCCTGACACATACTTTTCCTGATTTTGAACCATGCAGTGTCCTCTTGTTCTAAACGACTGCATGTTGGTCGACATACAGTGTCTGCAGGAGCACAATTAATTGTTCTGAAATTCTCATTTTGTGAAGTGTTATCCATAGTTTATATGATTCACAGAGTCAAACATTTTTCATAGTCAAACACAATTTACCATCTAAGTCTCTGCTTTCAGCGCAAACATATCTGATGTCAGTAATAATATTCCTCATTTTACCTCCTCTGTTGAGACCAGCTTGAATTTCTGGCAGCTACCTGTTGATATACTGCTGCAACTAGTTTATAATTATCTTCAGCAAAATTTTACTTACCTGTGATATAAATTATATTGCTTGGTAATTTTTGTATTCTCTTGACTAACCTTTCTTGGGAAAGAGCATTAATGTACGTCTTTTTCTAATACTTTAGCCAGGCAGCTGTATTCCAAGTTTCTTGGCATAGATTAATGATGATGCAGTGCATGTATAATATTAAGTGGTCCAAAATTATCATTATTTTAATAAATATTTCTAATGTACTTATTATAACAGTATATTTTACAGTTTGTCATTGAGCCTAGTGTTTTATTTTTGTCATTTGTTAAAAGTATTGTGGTAATTACATAATCTCCAGTCAACTTGTGAAGGGGTGGAGTCTAGCCTGTCAATCAAGCCATAGCCAATGATACCTCTGTGTGGGCATGGCTTTCTCCTGAGGAATCAGGGAACTCCTGTATTCCTCCCTGTAGGCAGGAGACACTCTCTCTGCTTCATCTTCCTGCTGACAAGATACATGTAGCCATGCTGATGGCAGTCAGGGCCCTGGGGCAGGAGGGGCCATGTGGAGACCCACACCAGCACTGAGATGTTTCCACTGTCACTGGATCCACAAGACTTTCCACCCACTGGCCTGTGATCTTCTTGTATTTGGCATTATTGCATGACTGCGTGAGTCTGAAGAAGAATTTATAGACT